TAAAGACTCATAGATACTGGGAATAGCATCGTTATTACAGTTGATAGAAAACTTGTGTAACAATGCCTTCTCCGTTATGCGGATTCCCAGCATACCTAATCCCAGCGACAGGCACGCACAGTGAAAGCATTCGCCGAACGGACGGACGAACGTTTATCCATCGGCAGCGCCAGGAATCAGCATCGTTTCCACGTTTCAGATTTCGAATATTAATTACATTCTCGCCGCTTTTACCGTAGTCCCATTGCGTCCGGGGAGAGAAAAACCGGAATGACCGGGATCGGGCTCCGTGCTCCATCTTAAATACAGTACATATACAACAACACGACCGATCGAGCGAGACCTGTCGCGATCCAACGTACACCCCGCCTTCCGCCAGTTTAACATTCGAAAATGTCTCTTACTTAGCTGCGAGCATGGAGATCTGGCTAACGTGTTAATTAAAAGTAACCTGGCCAATACTTGGAAATCTGTCGATAAGAGCTAGTTTAGTTAAAATCTGTTGAAACAGAGCTAGACTTTCAGTTGGACTAAAAGTTGTAGAGCAATTATAACTTACCTCCGAATCCCGTTCTGCGAGACACTTTTTTTTACATTAAATAAATAACTGCTGTTTGATGATTGATCAATGTTTCGTTTCCATATCTAATGAAAGTTTCAATGGTATCGAGACAGAGATAAATATAGGAAACAAGAGACGATCCACGAGTACCGTATTAGTGTAGAGATCTAGTGAGATTCAACGTTCTTACTGATTACCTCGAATCATTACTCACGCAGAGAAGGCACGTGAAGAATTGTACGCGATCCTAAGGACACCTTTAGAGGCTCGATTCATGCACACACCATCTCTTTTAATTACTTTTCATTTCCACTTTACGAACTCGTTCCAGTATTCAGACAAAATATCGTATTATCCGACGGTTGTTATGCGAATTCCTTCGAATGGCGGATCATCGAAGAGTAAACGCGTCTCGTTGGAAAATTTACGACCTTTACGAACGAAATTCCCCGGCAAGCCCGCATCGACAACCAGCTTTTATCCAGCACCTGGCTGCTTGTGCCCGTATGAACGTGAAACGTTCACACCCGTTCAACGAGCCGTCGAAAACAGATAGGTTTTTCTCTCGGAGTAAATTCAGAATTTCACATTCCTCGTGCAAAAAACAAAAAAAACAAAAAAAAATCCAGTCGTTTTCATAGCTTCTTTTCTCTTTGTCCTGACGCGGACAACTCGGGGAACATCGTTCTGTGCATTTAAACAGCAGAGATAAATTCGTCAGACGGTCCCGTTCATTTGAGAAATTTGACCAAAAGGTAACACACGATAGAAACGTGTATGAAAAAGAATTGGATACAAACTTTTCGTCGATGTTTCCATCCGTTTGGGAAATCGACGAGGGATAGTGTAGTATAATAATGTTGCAATGGAATGTTAGGAACGTCGACTATGAAACCCCATTCATACTGGGCCGCGATACGTCCCGCAGAATTAAAATAGTAAAAAAGTAACGTGGAAATTGCACGTGACTCTCACGAGTGAGAAATATTAAGCAATACGCGTTATAGGGATATTCCTGCGAGATATCACACAGAGAAATAAGTGTAACTGTCTCTCAACAGACAAAAAAAAAAAAAAAGTGAAACACCTGCAAACATTCAAATTCAAACGAGGTAAAAATAAAAGAAATCGAAGTGAGGATTGTTTCCGGATTTATTTACCAAGGTGGTGATCTTTCTTTCGATTTCTGCGATTCTACCTCGGCTACGCGGCGATATATTCGCTCGTCTGTCCATCCTCGGCGCCACACGACTCGTTTCAGCAAAAGCAAGCGTTTGCCAATGGATAATATTTATTGGCCCATTGTGCCCGCCGGGATCTCACCTTCGGACGCTAAGGTTCGATAAGTGGAAGGCACGCGAAAGGAATTCTCGACATGTCTGGTGAGCGAATTAGACTCATTGGAATTTCACTTTGGTTGCAAGCAGGCTTTCGTGCCGCCAAGTATGGTCCCCATGACCCGGTAGCCGGATACGACGATACGCGACGTGCGAGTATCGCCAGAGTCTGTCATTAAGTTATTAAACCTGTGTGCAAACACTTAGCAAACAGTTTGTCAGACATCGTTCATAATTAGTGAAATGTAAAATTTATTATACACCATTCGTGTTATATGTATTCACGTAGAATTACAATGTTTGAAGTATACCGATCTTTTCTTTCGGATATTTACCGTCTGTTGCAGATAAACGATTATCTGGTCAACAATGCCGTATTACAACAGCGGGCACAGCCCCTCCACCTATAACAAAGGTAATCTCTTTTCTATTGTTCAAACAACTCGACAAGATTGCAAAATTACTTCGGGGCAGCTTGTTAGACTACTTTCTTTCAAGTTACACGCGTAATAACTGTAACACGTCGTTTCACCACGATTCTTCTTCACTTTCGTTTTGTTATTTCTCGAAACTAAGCCCACTCTCTGACTTTATTATTATTGAAAGAAAATTGACGTGAAACACACTTGAGCGTGGCAATTGAGCGAAACGGTTATTAAACGGATTGAACAACAATAAAATCAGACGGAGGATCGAGTGGCCCATCGAGCACATCGGGCGGCCGCGTGAGCAGTTCCGAGCCGACGTACATGATGGAGCATTTGGCCACATTCACGGTCACGAAGGAAACCGGTATTGTTTATCCGGCGGACGGTATGCGGCGACTTTTGCAGTTGGAGAAGAGTAACGGCATTTGGAGTCAAAAGATGCAGCTCCGTCTGGAACGGAATTGGGTGCTGATCATGGACAACGAGACGGGGGTAAAAAAAAAGAATCACATCAGAGAAATCTGTCATTGTGATTTTTTTCAATTAAAAAAAAAAAAAAAAAAAGAACCATGTAGTAGCTAGCTAGCTAACTAGCTAGCTTGCGTAGACGAACGAAGTGGAACATTTGTGAAATTACTTCAACGTACTATAATTCCCGAGGCAATTTCACTTAATGCATCGTTGATAAATTCGTATGCAGGCCGTCATGGAGCGATTCCCAGCCTCGTTGATACAGGAACCGACCGCGTTCACGTCGAGGGACCCTATGGAGATGTATAACAACATTCTCGTCTTCACAGTGGCGGATGACAGCGGTTCCGGTCAACGGGCAGAAATGCATATATTCCAGTGTCAAAGTGTCTCGGCCCAGGATCTCGTCGAGGATCTAAAGATGCTGCAAATGGGCAAACTGGTGCCCGGTGGTTCGCCAAGAGGTCCGAGAGGTCGTATCCCACCGCCTCCTACTTTACCACCGCCGGAACCACCCTTGAACGGGGTTAACGTCCGCGAACAGGTGTCCGCCTTTAATGCCAACAATGGTACGTATCGCTTTAAATGTTTCGCGAAGAAAAAAAAAAAAAAAAAAAAAAAAAA